CCCGAGCCCCAATTGGGCCCCCAGAGCCTCAATTGGGCCACTAATTAGCTTTTAGGCATTTGCAGGACTCTTCTGTTAAGCATGTCACATAAACTGCAACTACACGATCCTTTCCCTATGATAACAGAAAAAGTACTAGCTATGTTCATTTCTTAAAGTATTTCCAATAAAATATGCTATGTTAATGTCATTGACGTAGTTCATTCATCGCACCTTTCACTATATTTTCCCCAGGTGACACCAGGTATTTCTGCTAGTTGTAAATATACCACAGTGGTAGGTTGTAAATCTAGGGGGAGGAGCAAAAGTAACCGGAAAGATTGGTGTGTCTTCTAGACTAGGGTACATCTCTTTTGTTTATGACTTGAGTTTGGTGTAGATCTGACATTTACATCAGGAAAGCAGATTTTGCAAAACATTCAATGTTTTCGGAAGAGATCTAATTGAGAAAGCATAAGGTGGGTTTTCAGAGTAATGAAACTAAGGGTGTGTCTAGACTACAGGGTTTTTGTGAAAAAACTTGACCTGCGTCTAGACTGCTGCCACATTCTTTCGAAATTAAATCGAAAGAACGCGGCCGTTTTTTCGACTGCGGTAAACCTCATTTTATGAGGAAGAAAACCTTTTTCAAAAAGGCTCTTTCAAAAAAAGGCGTTCTTGAATGCAAACAGGGCTTATTCGAAAGAGAGTATCCCGACTGCCTGGGTGCTCTCTTTCGAAAGAGGCTTGTAGTCTAGACATAGACTAAGACACACAGGATTATAGAATTAATTGAATTGAAATTATTTTTATACGAAAAACACATGTAGTTGGACATGTTTTAAACCTTTGTTAGAGAGACAAGTCGGTGGAGGCAACATCATTCAGGCAACATCTACACTACAGGGTTTTTGCAGACAAAAAGGTCATTTTTGCACAAAAACCTGTGGAGTGTCCACAACTTAAATGCATTTTTGTGCAAGTAAATTTACAGTGAATTGACAGAACAGAGGGGTTTTTGCAGTATAGGTATTCCTCTTTCTACGAGGAAAAACTCCTTTTTGTGCAAGAGCTCTTGCGCAAAAAGGTGTGGGGACAGGCAACAGGTTTTTTGTGCAAAAAGCCAATCAAAAAAAGCACAAGTGCTCTGGTGGCCATTCTGTGAATAGCAATCAGAGCTTTCTTTTGAGAGAAAGTCCATGCAGTCTGTACTCTCTCTTGCGCTTTTACGATGCACTTTTGTATGGACGCACTGTTGCGCAAGAAGCCTGCAGTGTAGACATAGCCTCATTGAACCAGCTTCTGTTGGTAAGAGACATGATCTTTGAGCCATACAAAGCTTTTCAGCTGGCCAAAAGCTTCAGGACATAAGCTTCTTTTGAGATGCATATTTGCAAATATTTTGTATCTAAATTCAAGTCTTCAAATAATAACTGCCTGATATCACTGTTATATGAATTGTAGGAGGTTTTATGTCCTAATATAGCAAGATGTTGATGCTTTATCTGGTTATTAATATAAGAATCAGTTTAACAATAGAATCTTTATATTAATGCAATTAATTACTGGCAATGCTCAAAAAATTTCATCTCACTCTGGAATGACAAGAAAAATCATCTTTCCAAACATTGTCTTGGAGAAGTGAAAGACTTAAGGCTTTTTGGAACTAGAAACTTGTATACAAAGTAGGGGTGTCAAAAGTTTTAAAAAATCATAGCAATTAATGTGAGATTCAGAAAATGTAATTGTGATTCATTTCAGTTTTAATCGTACTGTTAAATGATAAGCTATTTAAATATTTGTGGGTGTTTTCTACATTTTCAAATCTATTGATGTCAATACAGTGTTCACTTTGTATTATTTTTATTACAAATATTTGCTCTGTAAAAAATCAAAATAGTATTGTCCTAGGTACTGTAGTGCAAGCTTTTTATTGTGAAAGTACAACTTACAAACGTAGAATTTTTTTACTAAAAAATAAAACAATGTAAAACTTTAGAGCCTACATGCACGCAGTCTTAACTTCTTGTTCATCCAATTAGTAAAACAACCAAGTTTGCTTACACTTACTGGAGATAATTCTGCCTGCTTCTTATGTACACTGTCATCCTAAAGGTGACACTGTTGTAGCCAGCGTTGCAAGACCAGCTATGCTAAAGATTTGTATGCCCCTTCATCCTTCAACCACCATTCCAGCGGGCATGCATCCATGCCGACAACAGGGTCTGAAATGTGCAGTGTTCATTTTCATCATCTGATTCAGCTGCCACCAACAGAAGGTTGATTTTCTTTTTTGGTAGTGTGGGTTCTGTGGTTTCCGCATTGGAGTGTTGCTCTTTTCAGACTTCTGAAAGCATGTTCTACCCCTCATCCCTCTCAGATTTTGGAAGGCACTTCAGATTCTTAGACCTCGAGGCAAGTTCTCTAGCTATCTTTAGAAATCTCACACTGGCGTCTTCTTTGCGTTTTGTCAAATTTAAAATAAAAGTGTTTTTAAATCAAACAGCATATGCTGTGTTGTCATCTGTGAGTGCCATGACAGGAAATATATAGCAGAATGTGGCTAAAACCAGAGAGCAGGAGACATGCACTTTTCCCCTAAGCATGGAAGCATGTCCTGTGGATTGACGGTTCTGCATGGGTGCTGTGGGGCTGGAGCACCCATGGGGAAAAAGTTGGTGCGTGCTGAGAACTCACCACTAACCTCCTTATCAGCTCCCCCTCTCCCTCCAGTGCCTTCTGCCCCCTGGAAAGCCCTGTGGATCTGCGTCTTCCCCCTCCCTCCCCACATGTCCTGCCCACTGCAGTCAGCTGTTTTGCTGCATTTGGAAGGCTCTGGGGGGGCGGGAGGGAAGAGGAGAAGTGAGGATGTGGCATGCTCGGGGGAGGGGACAGACCTGGGCAGGAAGAGGTGGTGTCTTGGGGGAGAGGGTTGAGTGGGGTCAGAGCTAGGGGTCAACCACCCCCTGACACTTTTGAAAGTCGGCACCTGTGGGGTGAAGCATGAAGGGGCATACGTATGTTTGGCATATCTGGCATGGAAATATCTTGTAATGCTGACTACAAAATGCCATGCAGCCGGTTCTCTTTCAGAAGACTAGGCTGTTTAGCACCCAGCAAAGTTATGAATTTACACTCCCCGGCTCGCCTTTTGAAAGCCGGAGGTCAGATGCAGAGGGGTCCCTTTGAAAAGGGTCGCGATTGGCACATTTGATGAGGCGCATGGCCTGTTATGAGAGACAGATGTTGGACCTGTGGAGCTTGAAAGGTGTGGGAGGGTGGGGGCAGGGGAACCAACAGAATTGCCAGGCCCCTGGGCCAGGTGTGGGGGGTGGGTGCTGCACTCTTGGAAGGGGCGGGGCTTCAGGCAGACGGGATGGGGGGGGAGGGGCGGGGCTTCAGGCAGAAGGGATGGTGGGGAAGGGGCAGGGCTTCAGGCAGAAGGGATGGTGGGGAAGCCAGCTCTCTGCACCACTCCTGCCAGCCCACAACTTTACTTAAAAACATCCTTAACTAAATCGTAGGTGCTGGGAGTGGGGTGTTCCTGTGAATGCTGCTGTTTGGGGGGGCCCTCCAGAGACTCACTGCAGCTGGCGGGGGGCCTCTGAGGCCCTGTCAATGCTGCTCTTGGGGGTAGGGTGCAGCCCAGGACCCTGCTGCTGCTCCAGGTATGGGTGGTTTGGGACCTTGCCACTGCTGCTCAGGAGAGGGTGGCCCACTGCTGGTCCCAGGGGAGCCTGGGACCAGTGTTCCCTGTAAGTGTGCACTTGTTCGGCCCCTCAGGAGAGATTCCTGTGCCACCCAGCAGAGTAACAGAGCGTCCACAGCTGGATTTGTGTTTCTCCTGGTGGTGCACACTCACACATGCTTCATGCACATAAAACTTATTCTGCACAAAGATGGAAAAATCCACACGTGGATGGAAAAGATTAGAGGGAGCATTGCCTGGAACCTGCTGCATGGGACCACTCAAGCAGTGGCCAACATAGCCCAAGCAGCAGCTGATGCCCAGCTGCTCATGTGGCCCTGGGATCAGCCACGCTGGCCGCTGCAGAAGTCACAGAGGTCCTGGAAAGTTGCAGAATCTAGGACTTCTGTGACCTCAGTGACAGATGCACAGCCCTTATTACAGCCCATGGCTAACTTAGTGCATGGATGGGCTACCATCTCAGCTTGCATTCTCCAGGCCAATTTAAGAAATGCCTCCCTCAGGGCAAATGGCATTTCCCTGTCAGTGGAATCAGCTGTGTGTCTGTCCTACGGCAGCCCCCTCCTTCCAGGCTCCTGAGCCCCACGGAGATCTCTGAATGCAGTTCTGTGGCCCTGGCAGGTCTCTGAGCCGAGCCCTGCTGGCTGTCAGAGCAGCTGGCACTCGCTCGGGGCATTAGCATAGTCCCACCCGCAGTGACGTGACTCCTCCTTTGCACAGTGGGAAAGTGAAAGTTCCTGTGAAGCTGCCACACAGCAGCAGCCATGGCCTTGGCGAACCCGCTGGAGAAGCTGCAGGAGGAGGCCATTTGCTCCATCTGCCTGGAGTACATGAGTGACCCGGTGAGCATCGACTGCGGGCACAACTTCTGCAGGGCCTGCATCACTGAGTACTGCCGGGAGAAGGGGCTTGGGGCCAGGGGGCCCTTGGTCTGCCCCCAGTGCCGGGAAGCCTTTCACAAGAGCAATGTCCGGCCCAACCGGCAGCTGGCCAATATCGTGGAGAGCATCAAGCAGCTGGGGCTGTCCCCGGCCAAGGGGCAGCTGGAGGCGCTCTGCAGGAAGCACGAGGAGAAGCTCAAGCTGTTCTGCGAAGAGGACGGGGAGGCCATCTGTGTGGTTTGCCGAGAGTCCCTGGAGCACCGCCCTCACACCGTCTACCCCCTGGAGGAGGCGGCCCAGATGTACAAGGTAGAGGGGTGCAGGGCTCAGGGTCACCCGCCCTCCAGGCCTGTCCTGGAGTCTCCAGGAATTGACCATTAGGTCACGGGATGAACCCTCCAGGAATATGGCCAACCAGATCTGTGCCAGGACAGCAAGGCCCCCTCTGTATCGGAAACTTCCCCTCCATGGCCCTGCGCTCAGTGGCCAGCAGGTGACACCAGGTGGACCCCATTTATTAGGCCACAGTTCCCTGAGCCACCCTTGGATGATTTCATGGAGGTTAGGTCCATAAAAGGCTGTTAGCCAGGGGGTAGGAACGGTGCCCGGCCTCTGTCTGTCAGAGGCTGGAGAGGGATGGCAGGAGACAAATCGCTTGATCATTGTCTTCGGTCCACCCTCTCTGGGGCACCTGGTGCTGGCCACTGTCGGCAGACAGGACACTGGGCTAGATGGACCTTTGGTCTGACCCAGTACGGCCGTTCTTATGTTCTTACGTTCCCCTTAAGCCCTCTCACGTCCAGTCACCTGCTGTAGCCAGGCACAGAGGAATAGCAGCCCGGATTCTGAGCTGGGCTCAGTGTTGCTCAAGAGGGAGGGTTGGGGGGACGGGGACGAGCCAAAGGTGGCTTTTCCTCACCTTGGCAGCTTTTGGTTTCTGGGACTGGGGCCTGATTTAGTCTCCAGCATAACTGATGTCCAGCTGCCCACAGCCCCTCGAGTCGCTCTGGCCTGGGGAAAAGCTGAGAGCCAGAGGCGCCTGGCCGCACTCTCCTCTCCATTCACACCCTGTCCGCTGCAGGCCAGGATGAAGGGGTTCAGCACTGGAACATCTGGGCCACAGCAGGGTTCTCCTTATGCAAGGGCAACTCCCAGGCATCAGTGAAACCAGCTTTTCAGCTGCTTGGAGCTGCCAGAGAGCCACAGAGCAGCAGGGGCCAGGGCCAGAATTTGGCTCGTTAACTGATCACTCGTTTTGCTCACACAAATCCAGCATGCGTGTTTGTGCATGCAGCTACCACACATGGAAATGCAGGGGCAGGGCATACCCAAAGGTGCAGGGGCAATTTGGGGTTCACAAAATGACTGGCCCATTTCTGCACCGATTGCTCCTGAAACGCACCTGTCATGGCGAGGCACTGAACTGCTGCATACAAGAAAGGATCTCAACTCCTGTGATGGCCTGTTTGTGGCCTGGCAGGGAGATGGTTAATATGCCCTGAGCTGAGGAAAGATGCAGCTGCCTGCTCTCAATGGAGGGATTGTCTGAGCCCTAGGGATGGAGCAGCTGTTAGAAGGTTAACTCTCTCTTTGCAGTCCCTGAAACAGGTTCCCTATACCCAGTGTCCACATTTCAACCAGCTAACCTCTGGGCTTGGTAGGAAATGCAATTAGCTGAGATCAAGTCCCACGGCTGATGGATCGCTTAAGGAGAATTGACTGGAGTTATTTTTCTTGTCAGATCAAACTTCAGAAATCCCTGTTAAGAAAACCGTACTGGAGGAGAGGACAAAAACCCAGGAATGCAAGGCAGGTGAACTCCTGATCGGTATCCCTACATATAAGAGAACACTGTCCATCTGAGAAATCTAGTTTTTAAAAAAGAGATAAATTGCTTTAAAATTAGTAATAGTGTCAGGTACGATATCTCGGGCAATTTTTAAAAAACTATATTTGTGTACAAAAACCCCATTGCCGTGAGAGACCTGGACAAACAAAGGAGACTGACTGTAGCAGGGGAAACAGAATAACGTGGCAAAATACTGGTAAATTCACAAAGGCCAAGTATACACCGTTGCTGCACTCTAGATAAACCACTTCTAGGTGAAGCATAGAGCTTGCTGCACTCGGGATACAGCACTGGGAAGGTAGGGGGGGCAGTGTGGACATGTGAATTGTTTGTTGTGTCCTGACTGGCCTCCAGAAACGGCCCATAATCCCTCAAGTCACCTGTACTCTTTGTTTGGCACTCAGCTGTCTGCCCTGCAGGCTTGCACATCTGTCTTCTCAGAGCTGTGTTTTGGACAGCCTGCATGCTGTGCTGATCTGCTCTGGGACACAGAGCCAACCAACCAGGTGGCATGCTTGTGCTGTTGAACACAGAGGCGTGAGTGTGTGTATGCGTGCGTCTGTGTGCAGGGAAGGGCGGGAGACAGTGTGTTTTGGGGGATGTCTGTCAGCATGCTGACATGTAACTCCAACATGTCAGCCCCCTCCACACCTAGCTCTTTGCATGGCAATTTCTCTCTCTCTCTCTCTCTCTCTCACACACACACAGAGAGGTATTGCCATGCAAAGAGCTGGAGGAAAGGGCTGAGATGTCGGGGTTACAAGTCTGTATGCTGACATCCCCCAAAACAGTGTCTGCCCCCTTCCCTGCATGCACACATGTGTGCACACGCTCT